CGTGGATTCTGCCTGGAACCCCATCCACTCTGCAGCCTATTATGAGCTGGGTTCAAAGCCACCAAGTTATAATGCCAGGTGGACCCGCCAGCAGTCCATCGTGAGACTAAAGCGATGCATTGGGACTGGGCACTAGCGGGGCTGGAGGCCACAGGAAGCCATGTGAGCAGGCCACCAAGACCCCCATGATGTCCAACTGCTGCGCCTTCCCCTCAGTTCACACCCAGGGCTGCCTGAGAAGTTGCCTATGATCAGCTGATGGAGGAAGTAAAAGGCTGAGCTTGGTTCAGAGATGGTTCAGGTCAGCATGTAGATACAAGCCCAACATGACGGCCGCTGTCCTACAGCTCAGCTCAGGGTTAGCCTTGAAAGACAGGAGTGAAGGGGGAGCAGGGCTTTGGGCAGGGTTACTGGTCCTCTACTTGCATAGAGAAAGAGCTCGGCTGGCCTGTGGTTAGGATATGTATACAGGGTGGTGAATGGTCTGGATGGTTGGTCAGGAAGGGGAGGGATGATTGGGGGGAAATGGGGTCCAGGAGAGGAGCATGTGGATGGACCTATGGAACAAGACACAGCATGAAGACCTCTGTTTAATGTCCGACAGAGAATTTGGAGAACAAGAGAGGTAGTGAATGGCCAAGCAAACAGAATAATGCAGCCGGTTGACATTGGCCAGCTTCTGACATTGGCCCCTGTGGTGCTGGGCAGTGAACACAGGAGCAGAGTAGCTGTGGAGCAAGGGATCAGTCTACACATGGGCCCCGTAGCATGGGTTCCACTCACCAAGACCAAGGTAGTTGCACGTCCACCCTGCCAGCAACAAAGGCCAAACTTGAGTCCCTGTTATGGCATTAATCCATCAAGAAGAATGACCAGCTATTTGGTGGCAAATACACATTTGATTACATTGCATCTTTTCTAATCTGAAAAGGACAGTGATTGATGGTAACTAGAATGAACACGTTTTCCAGGTTGGTCATTTTTGTGCCCAGTACCTTAGCCAGCACCATTACCTGAGGCTTATCCATTGGTATGAGACCCTACAGCACACAGTAGACCAAGAGACATCCTTTACAGAAAACGAGGGTCAGCACCGGGCATATGGCCATGGCATCCACCAACCCTACCAGGTAACTACATTATCCAGAAGCTTTGGCCTGATACAATGAAATGGCCTGTTGAAGGCACAGCAGAGGCACCAGCTTGAAAAAAACATCTTGCAAGGATAGAGTACCATCCTCTAGGATTCCATATATATCTCAAATCAATTATTACATGACGCTGGAGCCCCAGTAGGCAAAATCCATGGATCCAAGTATCAAGAGATGGAAGTAGGAGTCACCCCACTTACCATCACTCCCAGCAACCCAGTTGGGGGAATTGGTGTTTCCTGTCCCCACAACTCAGGGCTCAGGGGGTTTGGAAGTCCTGGTTCTTTGAAGAAGAATATTCCATTAAATTGGGGATTCTTGTTGGTATTGAATTGGCAATAATGATCACTGGTTGACAAGCACAATATCACAGTCTCATGCCCATTGCAGCAGTTGGGGGAAAGGGGAAGTAGTTCACCCCACTAATGTTCCTTTTGCAAATTTTCTGAGAAGAGGGGGCTGATTATATCCTGGAGCCGTTTCCTAGGGTGTATTAGATAAACAAGTGAATCTGAACCGCATGATGGGCGGGTCCTGATTCCCTGGCTTGCTGTTTATTTATCATCTCTCTTCCCAGGACTGAAGTGCTCTTTCCACAGCTGCTGTGCGTTGGTGGCCAACAGCTTTCAGCTGAGTATCCTGTGGGAGACCTGCCCTTGGCGGAGGAGAGCTGCCTTGCCCAGAGTTCAGGGTCCGGGGAGCAGCCCGCATCCGTGACTGGTTGAGATGGGAATATAAATGCCTGCACCCTTGCCCCAATTTGGGTTGTCCCAGCTCTAAAGCTCCCTGTGGGACTGGCTGAAACCTGCATTGTGACAGTGTTCCATATACCTTCTCTCCAGGCCCCGTCCTGCTTTCCACACTGTCCAGCACACTTTGAATGACAATTTTCATCTAAGAGTCTGCTTCCCATTTGGTGCCATCTCTGGTTCCTCGTTGGGATCTGTGTGCCATCGGAAGGCTTAAATGTCTCCACTGCTCTGTGCCCACGATTTTATACTCCAGGGGCAGATGATGCTGTGCCCAGTTACAGGCGAATTGCATTAGAGATTCCTTGAAAGAGAGGAGAGAGAGCTTGGCATAGGGGATGTGAGCGAATTCTCTTTAGTCTTGCACAAGTGAAAGGCATTTCTCCCCCTCTCCTCTCCCTTCCTGATCCTCTCTTCAAGATTTTCTGGCATCAGAGGGTCTGCTGATCCCAGGGAGGTGCCCTGTGGCCACCCCATGGGTGTTGCCTGCCTCCTGGACATGCTAACATTTGGTGGTGCATCCCTTCTTGGCATTTACGGCTGAAGTCTGCTAAGCTGCAGAAGAGACAGGGGCCCCTGTTGTACCTGGAGTGGGGTGCAGTGATTGTTCTGAGTGGGAGCCATGTGTGGGAGCCACTAGAAGCTCTCTGATGGCTCCTGGGGTCCGTGCTTCCACCTGAGGATCTCATGGAGAAGCTTTCCAGAAAGGCTCTGTTTGAGATATAGTTGGTGTGCAATCACCTCGGCCTCTGTCTGACATGGGAGTGTGAATGCAGAACCCTCACCCAACTTTCCCTGCCCCAATGGGTGAAGATAGTGATTTAAAAAATAATCCCAATCCTCACCTGGGGATATGTATTTTTATAGATGAGAGAGAGAGAGAAAGAGAGACAGACAGACATTGACGTGAGAGAGAAACATCATTTGGTTGGCTCCCCTACGCGCCCCAACCAGGAATCAAACTCACAATCTGGATATGTGCCCTGACCAGGACTCGAACCCATAATCCTTCGGTGCTCAGGATGATGCTCCAACCAACTGAGCCACACCGGCCAGGACAAGATAGTGATGTTTTCTGAGAGAAAGTGTGCTTAGTGCAGGAAATCGTTTGGGGTCATGGTCATGTGTTAGATTCCCTACTTTCTTTCCTAAAACATGATTATCCTCATATTATGGATGGGACAATCCAGGACCAAAGTAACATATGAGAGAGACTTGATTTAGGGGTAAAACAGAAGCCCCTCGTCTGCCAGGTCAGTGCCTCCCTTATATTGCCTGTGCCAAGGCCACCCCAAATTGTGGGCCAGTGGGACTTTGGTGTGAATGGTGTCCCTGGAGCTACACGACGCAGTGACCCTGCTGGACAGAGTGCGACACAGTGGGCAACTGACCCTCCAGATTGGCAGCCTTAGACCACGTGGAGTTCTACCAGCAGGGCACCTATGATTTTTTCTACCCCTGGGGACATAGTTGGTCTCTGATTTGAGTTTCTTACAGGAAGTGGAGGTCTTGTCCATGTGGTTAGAAGCTCTTGAGCTTGGCGAGGAGAAGAGTGAGGAAGGGAAGTGCATTGTCTGGGTCTCTATGGCACCGTTGTGGAGTTATGGAGGTTTCTGTGTCACCGGTCCTGCCTCTCCAGCCACAACATCCGGCATTTCACTTTCACCTAGTGCCATTCTTCTCACAATCGCCTTCTCCCCTCCCATCTCCCATGCCCTGATTCCGTTCTCCATCACCTCTTGCCTATACATTGCAATAGCGTGCTAACTGCTCCTCCCTTCCCTCCCCATCCAGCCCTTCGCCACATGGTTATGACTCCCAAAGCCCCTCTGATCATGCCACTCCCCTACCCCGCCAAATCAAAACTTTAAATGCCTATTTGTACTCAGGTGGCCAGATGCTCAGGTTTGCCTGGGACTGTGTTCATTTACTAGTATATCTGCTGTCCCAGCATAATTATTAATGGTGCCTCCTTTTATTCTCAAAAGTCCTAATTTGGGTGATAAAAATGATGCGTTCCTCTTACTCATTACTCTCTGAATGGAGCCCAAACTCCCCACCTTCACAGACTGGCCTCACCTTTTCTTCCCAAATTTCCCCGCCATTTCACTCAGCCCCTAGCCCTGCCACCTTTCCAATGGGCTTCCACCCAGCTTGAAAAACACACAGTGATAGCCCTGGCTGGTGTGCTCAATGGTTAGAGTATCCAACTACCCACCAAGGTGCTGAAGGTTCGATTCCCGGTCAAGGGCACGTACCTGGGTTGCAGGTTCCATCCCCAGCCCTGGTTGGGGCACCTAGAGGAGCAATCAATTGATATGACTTTCTCACATTGATGTTTCTCTCTTTCCCTCCCTTCCACTCTCTCTCTCTAAAAAAAAAAAAAGCAATGGAAAAATATCTTTGGGTTTGGGTGAGGATTAACAATAAAAAATAAATAAAATGAAATGAAACACTGTGATCATCTTTACTTCTAAGCATTTCTCAAGCTCTCCCTCTCTCCTTCCGACCTAGCCTGAGATACCGCTCACTGAGCCCCTGCCCTTGTCCACCCATCAAGACCTAGTTAAGTTCCAGGCTTGGGCTTCTTTCAGTGCCTGTAAAGCCTCAGTCTGGCCGACCCTCTTGTCAAGGGTCACCTCGCCTTCCTGTGACTTGTCTGTATAGTCTGTGTATTCTGGGCTGGAGGACACTCAGAGGAGCATGTCAGGCACGGGGAGAATATCACAGGCTGCTGCAGTGGGTCACGGTAGAGACTTTGGGCAAGCGTGAGGTTGGCCAGGAAAAAAGTGGTGGGGAGGGTCCTGCTGAATATTTGTCTGAAGTAGGAGAGGTCTAGGAAGCCACTCTTGGGGACCGGAATCAGAGGCGTACAGAAGGTTTGTCTGGTCCTGTCAGTTTTCTCCTGAATCCCGTTGAAAGCCAGCCAAGCCAAAAGGTCATTTCTCAGAAACACAGTTCCCACCCCCATAATTATACCTGTCACCCCTACCTTTCTACCTGCCAGCTTAATGTGGATTCCCCACAATAATACAACTGCTGACTGAAACACAAAATACAGGTTTCTGTATTCCTAAAATAGTATTTATTTCCAGTGAACAATATGAGTCACACCTCTTCTTAAAAATACAAAACATGTTCATATCTTTGCCAGGACCCTTACACGTTTCCAGAGAGGGAGGGAGGAGAATAAGAACCTAGCACTTTGCAAGGGATTGAATTGGGGATCACAGAGGAGAAAGGACCTGACATGGTAAAAACAAGCAGTATTCACAGCAGAGAAGTTTAAAAACACCAGTAGCCTGGCAGCGTGGCTCAGTGGTTGAGCACTGACCTATGAACCAGGAGGTCACAGTTCGATTCCTGGTCAAGGCACGTGCCCAGGTTTTGGGCTTGATCCCCAGTGTGGGGCATGCAGAGGGCTCTCTCTCATCATTGATGTTTCTATCTCTCTCTTCCTCTCTGAAATCAATTAAACGTATATTAAAAACATCAATAACTTAAATACAATAATTTGTTAATTATTAAATAAAAGTCATTCGTTTGGGGAGGATGATGCGATGATTTCAGGCTGCTTCTTAGGAAGACGGCGGAGGGGTGGGGGGAATGAATCAAGCATTTCTCAGGCTCGGGTTTGGTCTCAAAACAGTCAATCTTTATGGCTTTGGAGTTTGGGATTTTTTGTCCAGGTACTTCATGGCATCCTGGACCCACTTATTCTTGGGGTCAGCACAGACCTCCTTGTTCAGTTTGGTCTTGAAACTGTGGGAGAGAGGGGAAGCGATTAGAAGGATTCACTTTGAAAATTGTGTCCATTTAACCCCAAATTTCCAGGACCATCTGCCATGGGGTGGAGGGGCTGCCGTGGGAGAGCGGGAAGGGGACAGAGGAAGGATGGGACTCTGGGGTTTCCTGCTGCTTCTGATGGCCCAGTCAAGCCACCCTTGCTCCTGACTGGAAGGAACTGGTATGACCTGGACAAGCTTGCAGACAGAGCTAAGTGTGAAAATGCCCTGAAGTGAAAAATCCATGAATCGGATGAGAGAGTCCAACCCTGAGTTTATGATTCCAAGTAACTCAGGAACAATTCCTGCCCTCTGCCCTCTAGAAATGAATGTTTGGGCGGGGAGAGGGTGAGCTCTGCTACTTACATCACAGCTTTCTGGGGACATCTGCTGTCGGTGAGTCTTGTGTAACTTTGCAGTTTCTGATTTGGGATCTTCTTGCTGGCCACGCTGAAGCAGCAGAGGGTTGGGACCTTACCTGAATTTGTGGGAGAAATGAAAGAAAGGATGAAACACTAATAATATGTAGCTATTTTATATTTTTATTGATTTCAGAGAGGAAGGGAGAGGGAGATAGAAACATCAATGATGAGAGAGAATCATGGATCGGCTGCCTCCTGCATGGCCCCCCTGCTGGGGATCGAGCCAGAACCCAGGCATGTACCCTTGACTGGAATTGAACCCGGGACCCTTCAGTCCGCAGGCCCATGCTCTATCTGCTGAGTCAAACTGGTTAGGGCTGTAGCTATGTTAAGGTATGCCTTTGGGAGGAAGGAAGGAAATTTAGGAGAAAGCAAGAAAATGCAAGAGAAGGAGGTAGAATTCATCTGCTCTGAGGTCCTATACTTCTGCCTTGACTTGTGGTTGCCGGCTGAAAAGTGAGGACCTGTCCCCACTGGCAAAGTGTAGAAGAAGCTTGGTCAGTGCAGTAAGTTCTAGCTCTGTTGTTACAGGGCTATGGAGCTACGTGCCAACCATAGCACTGTTCACCAGATACCCCCATTCTCTACTTTCTGGATGCATGGTAGACTTGCATTTCGTGGCCACTTTTGGTTGGCTGGAGCCATTCACTAGTTTGGACCCATAAGTGAGAAACCAAAGTGGACAAGTGCCATTTCTGAGCTGGAGTTAGTGATTTCCAGTGCAAGAACCCCAAGGGCTAGCTTTCCCTTTGTCACGGTAGCAGCAAGACTTTCGAAGGTGGCTGCTCATCAGCCTAGGACCCTGAGCGTATGAAGCAGAAGGTCTAGCCAATACACGATAGACTTTCAGTAGGAGTAAGAAATTAACCTTTCTAGTTTCAAGTCATTCGTACCTTATTTGTACGAATAACATGCAGTGCTTCTAAGTCATCAGAGCATGAAAAATGCTAATTCCCCCCCCCACCCCCCCGACTCAAAACATGTCACCTCAAGAGATTCCCTGGAACCTCATTTCCTTCCTCTATCCACCATTTCTGAAAGCTTCTTGGAGTCCAGTGAAAACTCTGGGCCTCTCATCAAGCAATTGTTTTCCTTCTAGCCCTGCCCCAACTGCCCAAGGGGCCCACAGGAAGAGAAGGTCTTCTTTTGTGTGTGTGCCCCATCCCTGAACTCTGCAAAGGCAGCCAGATCATGGATATACTCTGTCTCTCTCAACAGCCATGTCAGAAAGGAACGTGGGACTGGCTTGGGTCTCTCTTCCACTGATTGTGAGGTTGGGCACGACTTGGGTTAGGTTAGGGTTAGGGTCAGGGTCAGGGTTAGAGTTAGGGTTAGGGCTAGGGTCAGGTTTCTAACACTACTCATGGGTCCTGTTGTGCTAGGTCAGGAGGTGGTCAGCTGTCCCACAGGGAGGGAGGGGGCTTACCTGGCTGAGCGAGCACCTGGGTGGTGAGGGTGGCCATGGTGAGCAACAGGCACAGGAGCGCTGCGGAGACCTTCATGCTGGAGGGTGCAGACGCAGCCTCAGTGTGGGAGTTGTCGATGTTTGTGCTTGTCTCAGCCCCTTGTGGGAGTTGTCTGTGTGTGTGCTTGTCTCAGGCTCTCTGTTCCTCTGGCTATTCCGCCTGCCTTTTAAAGACGATAGAGAAGAGTGGGAGCTTCTAGGGAATCCTTCCTCTTTGCAAAATCATGGCCAAGTCATCAAGGGAGGTCCTACATTGATTACCAAATTCTACTTCCTGGAAAGGACGAACAATGGGCAAAGTAGCGGAAAGAAATTTGGCACATTTTTATCTATCTTGGGGCTCAGCATGGGGGAGGAAGGGAGCTTATGAAATGACTGAGCAAGGGCTGTAACCCGAGAAGGTCATTCTTAGGAGCTCTGCTTTTCCTGAGATGGAACATCTGTAGTGGGGAAAGGAGTAAGGGAACCAAAGGCATGGAGAGATGAGGCGGTCTGAGAACCTTCCCTGGCCCCTGTGTTCACATGGTTGTCTTCAGGATTTGGGAGGCCAGGAAGGGACCTCAAATTTCTGCGTGGCTCCCACCCAGATGCAGAGAGATCTCAGCAGCTCTGAACATGGCCGGCTACCTGGGAACCTCACCCCTATTATTTAATCTAGTGGTCATAGAATCTAAGTGCCCTGGAATTTTAGTGCCATAGGACATCAGAACTGGGGAGCTCCTATTGGCCTGGACTTTTTGGGCATTTCCCTCCAGCTTTATTGGGGAATAACTGACAAATAAAGATTGTATACATTTAAGGAGTATGATGCATTGGTTTGACATACACATACATTGTGAAATGATTACCACAATCAAGTTAACCTTCATGTCCATCACTTCACATACTTACCCCCTCCCTCTTTTTTTTTGGTGGTGAGAACACTTAAGACCTACTCCCTTGGCAAATTTCAAGTCTAAAATATAGTCACCAGGCAGTACATTAGGTCCCAAGAACGTAGTCATCTGAAACTGCATCTTCAAAGCAAATGAGCCACGACCATCAAGGAGCTATCTGAGGTGAAGGACAGTCCTATCCATGTTCACTACTTTATCCTCTGCACTTATCATAACACTCAAGAAAGAAATGGCTTTCAAAAAAACAAATAAGGAGTAAAATTTCCCTTTAGCAGGCTGTATGCTATGTTTGCACCATTTGACCAACATCTCCCAAGAAATACAAAGAAAAACCACCCCACATCTGTTAGGGTGACACTTCTCTACACCTGGTAGGATGGCTAGTGTCAAATGACAAGGCATGATATGTTTGCAAGGCTGTGGAGGAAAGCAGAGGGAATGTAAATTAATGCAGCCACTATGGAAAACAGTATGGAGGTTCCTATGCATTTCTTATCTATTTCTTTTAGCCCCTCAAGCATTTTTCCTAAATGGAATTAATAGCAAAAGCCTGTTCATCAAATATACTGTAATGGAGTGGATCTGTTTGAAGCAGAATGGGTGGCTCCCTAAGCCCGCACATCCCAAGGATTCAAGGAACACATATGAAAACCAAGAGACTTAGTTCACTCTCACTCCTGAGCACACACGGCAGAGGAGGTACTCAATGGCTAAAAATTGCAAAGGAAAAGAGAAGAGAAGAATAAAGAGCATGTTTCCTCAGTGCATAACACAAGGCCCCATAATAGGAGATGGTGCAAGGGGCGGCAGCCTTTAATGGGGTCTTTAATGAGGTCCTTACTTAAAGTCTCTAATGGGGTCACTGTGGTGAATTGAATACTGGCATTGAAGCACTGCAAGATCCTCTCCTGCCTTTTCCTGCACGCTGGCATTTCAAATTAATTGATTGGTTCAGATTGCTCAGAGAGATGTGTTGAGACTTTGAGGTCTTGCCGAGGGTTAGGGAACTAACCCAAGGTCTCAGTCTCATCTGAATGCTCTTGTCCATTTATGGGCACAGAATTAGGAATTCTTGCTGGCCTAGATGATCTCTAAGCTCCCACCCTATATAATAAAAGGCTAATATGCAAATTGTCCCCTCAACCAGGAGTTCAACTGGGAGTTCAACCAGGGGGCTGGCCCACCAACTGCCCACAGCCCCTCCCCCTGGCCGGCCCTGCCCCCAATCTCCCTCTACCCTCCTGATCAGGGGCAGGCTGGCCAGCCAACCTCCTGCCTCCCCTCCCCATGGCTGGCCTGGTCTGATTGGCCCCAGTCAGGGTGGGCCAGCTGGACCCATCCATGCACGAATTCGTACACCGAGCCTCTTGTGTACAAGAATTGATCTCCAATTAGCTGAAAAGGGAGCAAGTAGAGGTCAGAAAATCTGGTCCTTCCTTATTTTTTTCTGTCCATGGCCAGGTGAGGTGGTCTAGTGTGGATTCTGGAATGAGGCTCCTGAGTTGGAATGATGGCTCTGCCACTAACTAGCTTTAGTACCATGGATAACTTACTAGCCACTATCTGCTAAGTTAACATGGGGGAACCTTAGAGGATTGTTGTGTGAATTAAATTAGTTAATATATATCTACCACATATATTGCACCGTGTCCAGCATGGCCAGGAGTGAACCTGAGGGGGTGGGGCAGGCAGTGAAGGATTAAAGAAGACAGACAAGAGAATACAGTTGAAGCTAGTAGGACACTGTTCTTGGATGGAGAGACAGTGCCACAGCCTGTAAGCTGAGTCTTTAGTTTATAGTCAGATCCCACGAGGCAAAGTAAAGATGTGGTCAAGATGTTTACAATGTTCTCTTGGGTTTTGAATCTACTCAATTCCATGCACCTGAGAACTCTATTTAGCTTTGTTTTGGCAGCACTTGGAACCACAGGTTCAGACCATATGGTCAAGCTTACAACCATAGCCTTTGGCTATAATTGTGCTGGGAGGGCTTTGGTCTCCTAGCTGGGACCTGCACATGGCTTTGCCATGAGAGGACCATGCCCTCTCATCAGTCCAAGGCTTGAACCTGTCCAAACACTGTAGCCGCTCTCCACAATACATAACATGCTCAGAAGAGTGACCAGATTACTGGTAAAAGTTCATACTTATTAGGAAATGAGACAGGTTTTGAGGCTCAGGGGATGTTGGAAAAGGACTCAGAGTCTGGTCACATTGTTTCTTCCAGATCTTCTCCCCAGTTTTCCCACTACTTCCAAATAAGAAGGGAGAGGAGGAAGAGGGTGAGGAGGAGGAGGGAATTTATATTCCAAAGAAAGCATGTTACTCTAGGGTGAGTTGCACATGTGGGAGATGTGAAGTCGCAGAAGTGTCAGTATGAGTTCGGGATGCTCTTGACCTTGGAGGTATTTTGCCAACATTCATGGGAAATTATGCTCCCTGAGTAGGAATAATTTCGTAACTCGGCTGGGTTGGAGGGCTCTATCAGTGAGTAACTTTCCATTTTTCAGTTGTATTCCAAGGGCTTTGGGTTAATCTAAATAGTAAAAAAAAACTGTGGGAATAAATAAACTCAATCTTTAGATGTCCAAGGTCAGCAGCTGTCCCGTCCAGCTGCCTGGCTGTCTGTCCCTAACTCAGGGGAGCAGATCCACTGGCTACTTTGTCTCTCTTCCTCAGAATTCTCTTCCTCGGCAGTGATCTTGGCTGGATCCATTCCTTACCTTGGTCTGACGCCTGGGAAATGTGGGACCTGGGCCATGAATGACTGTAAGTGATGGGCAGGAAGTAGGTCCTTCTCTGTGAGAGCAAAATCTTATCCTGAATGAGTAGGAGATGCAGGTTCTGGGAAGTAGGACCCCTGCTTTATTTTGCAGCTCTGCTCCAGATTTCTTCTCATAGTGCAAACTTATACCCAGATGAAAGAGATGTTAACATATGTGGTATTCCAACTCTCTCTCTTTTTCTCAAAAAAACACAAAAACACACACACACACACACAACCCAAACAACAACAACAACAACAAAAACACAGGGACCTAAGACTTGGGAACTAGTAACAGAATCCCTAAGGCAAGTAGTATGTTGTAGGCTGAGCTGGTTCTAGAACCTTTGTCTTTTGACTCCCAATCTAGTGAAACCTTTAATGCGTTGGAGTCCTTGGATTTAGTTTTCCCATCTGCAAAATAGGACCACGTAGGGGCTGCTATCTCTCTTTCTCAAGGGTCACCGAGACCATGTCTGCGGTTTCTTGTTACTTTCAGAGGAGAATGATCCCAAAGTATATGTTAGTATACAATTTCTAACAACATGTCTAGTGAACAGCAAGCTCTCAATAGCATGCTAACTTGCACAATCTATGCAAGTCACATTATTATTGCATTTTACATGTGTTGACTTATTTAATCCTCCCAAGAAATCTATGAAGTTGGTATCTTAATTAAGTTCATTTTAAAAATGAGAAAACAAGGGTTTAGGGGCATGAAATGACTTTCTCTGCTGTGCAACCATTTATAGAAGTGAAGGCTGCTTCTCCGAGTTGCCATCAGAAAAACCAAAGCCCTGTTGTATAAAATATTCTCACTGCAAGTTACATCATCGCACACAATCCTCTTGGGGTGATCAGCTACAAAGGCGAACACTGAGGCATTGGATGCTGAAATAGTTCCCTGAACCATTGGTCATAGTAATGCATAGCATACGCTTCAACAATAACAACCATGGAAATCTCAGAGACTCTTTGTAACAGACACTTATTTTTTGTTTATGTCATGGCCTCGTCTTGGTCAAGCAGCTTGCTGAAGGTACTCTCTTCTGAGGAGTGACTCAGGGACCAGGCTCTTTGTAAATTACAGATGTCATCTGGAACATGTAGCTCCCAAGTCCCCCCACGCAGAGGGAGAGCGGGTGGGAAATTGCGTAGGATGTTTTGAAGAACCAAACACTGTCCAAACACTCATGGAAGTAAGTGGCTTATAGCCATTCCATCTACATCCTGTTGGCCTAAACTCATCCTGTGACTCTCATCTAAGTGCAAAGGAGGCTGAGAAATGAAGCAGAGCACAGGGATATTTGTTGAGACTAATAGTTTCCATCACAGTCTGTTCTTGGCTCACTCTTCTCAACAGAGGTTAATGGAATGAGCCCGTCCCTAAGACAGTCCTATGGAGTCATTGCGTCAACCTAAATGGCCAGGACCTCTGGATGTCAGATGGTCCTCTCTGGCAGGTGAGTAGGACATGGATCCCCTTTGTCAAGTCAGCTGTGATC